ATTTGTGCGTAGAATAAATAAAATCGGGTAAAAACTCGCCCAAGACTCCATATAACTAACAAACTAACTAACTTCTCTGGCTTCAATCCTTTCAAGTTGCAAGAGTATGAAATGTTCGATTATACCCAAACTGAGCTCTCTTATTTGTTATAATATGAAGTATTTTTTTAAGTCCACAAAGCGATGTGATTAAACCGCTCGATTCCCACGACCGTCGGGTCTATGTAATCGGAATGGACTTGAATTTTTATCCCACCAAGGACTGTCAACTCGATTGCATTCTTCAAAACTAGTTCGGGAATATTTTCTTCCGCTTCTAAAAGAACAACTATCAAAATAGTTGTAAAGATTCGACGATGTCGAGGTTTTATCTAGATTTTCTAAATCCAAAGCCGAGTGGAATTCGATTTTTCTGCAAAAAATAATATGGTACGATAATCGCATATTAAATTTTTTCCCTAGCGGTCCAGAAAGTCACTGGTCAACAAGCGGAGGGACCTACAAGTTTCGAACCTATCGAAATCAGAATGCTTTTGATGGCACACATTTGCTCAAAGGTTTGTCATAACTTGCGAAGTGGGAAAAACTATTAAGCTATATGGCTACCGTTGACCAACCACAAGTTTTTTTTGTTTTAAATTAATCTACAATTTTATAATATTTATGATAATATACTTATACTTCAAGGTCGATTTGAAAGTTATTTTAGTACATATCAGGCAGAAATATTGTCGCTAAATATTGGCTAGTCGAAAAAATCTTTTCATATTTCTGATGAACCAAATAAATAACATTTTGGTCGACCATTTTTCCGCTAGATTGCATTATTCCATTATTCCATCAGTGTAAAACTTTCTTGGTTTCTCGGGGAAAGACTGAGACAACTAATTTTGACAGACTTCTCTTGAACTTTACTCCATTATGGAGTTCTGCATTGACCGAAACAAATGGTAATCCGATGGTGCAAGATCAGGACTATATGGTGGATACATCAAAACTTTCCAGCCAAGCTCTCCCAGTTTTTGCCGACAGTCACGACAGATGTGTGTGGTCTAGCGTTGTTTTGATGGAAGACGAAGCACTTTCTGTTGATCAGTTCTGGCCGATTTTTTCGATTCCTTGCTTCAATCTCATCAGTTCTTGACAGCAAAATGTAGAATCAATCGTTCGACGAGGATGGAGGGGCATACAGTGTATGATTAATTTCCAATCCGAATGCTGGGAGTTTGCATAACCTTTCCAAGTGTCAATCTTGGCTTCGGGATCATTTTTTGAGTTTCACCACGCTTGGATCATGATCATTTTCGCACATTACCGTCGTACCATTCGCTTCAGAAATGGTTCGATTTCATTTTGTTTCAACAAAGAATCGCAGATGTTAATTCATTTCATTAAATTTTTCATAGGCAATTCAAGTGGTACCCAAACATCGAGCTTATTTTGTAGCCAGCCTTTTAAAATGGTTCTTAACTGTTTGATGATAAATGTTAAGTTCCTTAGCGATGTCATGGCGGTTTATGTGAATGTCGTGGTCAAGCTTTTCCATCCATAATTTCATCGACTTTTTCAACGATAAAGATCGTCCAGAGCGAGATCATCTTTCACAGAACGGAAGAGAGCGCACCATTGCTGTACTACACGAACTGATACAACATCGTCTCCGCAAACTTCACAAATTTCATTGGTAGCTTGCGTGGCATTCTTCCCTTTTTTATACAAAAAAATCAAAATAAAGCGAATCTGTTCAATATTTTCACTCATTTTTGAACAGCTGTTACTTTTTTTCAACTTCTCCGAATTTAATTTTTTGGTTTAGGCAAAATAAAAACCTCACCTTCCCAAAACCATATAGCATGACACCATGAATGTGATTGGTAGCGATTGGAACGACATCTATTGACAAAATACGAAAATACTTTTCCGACCACCCAATACATATGTATATTTCTTATTACAACTTCCTTTGTACGGAGAGTAATTCTTTTTCTAAACCTTCCTTCCTCCCACCAACAAAGTTCAGTATTTTTTCTCGTAGAAACTGAAACCGAGTGAAGGTAAGAGCGTCTCCATCTATACTCATCTATGGTTCGCACAAAAGTGTATTCCCCTCCCTCTGTTGTTCCGTAGTATAACTTACTTATAGCTACTTGAATTGAACTGTGGTTAGTTGCCCTCATATAAATTAGCTATGTATGTATATCCACTTATTACATACCAATTTAAATGTTTAATGCGGTTAATTAAAAACATATCAACAAAATTCCCCACAAGCATTTATTTAACATTTTCTGCAATTTTTATAGTCTATAAAAAACCGACAGTTAATTAAAAAATTGTACATATAAAAAAATGAAGAAAATCGAATTCAAACAATAAGGCATAGCGAGATTAATGGGTATATTGACTTAGGCGCAAACACGTGGCAACCAGTCATTGCCGAAAAATAGAATTGCCGGCGTTGTGGCACAAATAAGTTTTGCATACATACATATGTACATCGGCACACATTTTTATTTTCGCGAAAATTCCCAGTCGAAAATAGTGCTGTTTGATCAATATTTATAACATTTAATATGGTTGCAAGTTTTTTGTTGCATGCGCCGGCGCTTCACCCCACCGCCTGCAGACAAATTTCAAGCTTGCCATTCCATTTGGAGCACCGCGTGCGTGTTTTTTGGGATAAGTAAAGGTATTTGTATTACGACCTTGATATTTCGCGAACTCTTTCTTGTATTGTCACATTTACATAATGAGCCACCGTGGTATTTAAGTGTCTTTATAGAGCCCATAAATGTAGTTAGTAAAGTGGTAAATAAATCAGGCACACGTTGACATTTTTTGTGTGACGTCAGAGCGTCAGATTAGCAGAGTTTGTTAGAAACGAGTCGATTAAAATGAGTCTAGTCGAGACAATAGACAGATTTAGCTTGTACTAGGGTAAAATGTCATATCATCATATCATATCATAAAGCCAACAGAACCCCACTTGGAAAGCCGAGAACGCCGGTACATTGTTGTATCTTAATACTACCTAAGTGTTAATCGTAAAGACTGTCATAAATCGAGAAAGCACCTTGAGTCTGTTACAAATTATTTAGGGGGCTAATATCAATTTCGACTACTTCAAATTCAGTCCTGTAAAATCTGAACTATTAAGGAAGTGAATACGTTATATGATGACTGCCACGCGTTATATAGACCTACTGATCTTTTGATGTAGGTTTGGTTCAATACGAGCTGTAGGTTCATCACACAGAAAGAACGTTTTTTGTGAAGTTTTAGACCGATTCGATATCTATTATGAGACTTCTATTTTGAACTTCGAAGCTCCAAACTATTTAAGAAGAGTTCTAGATAAAATCATATAGATACAGGGTTTGTTCGGAAAATAATAGAACTGATTAACTTCCACTGCGACTGTACTTCGGAAGCGTGTTCGCACCGACTGGATTCGATAGAGGACATTCCCTGCTAACGAGCGAGTGGCCGGTCAGTTGTCTCCGCGTACCTGGCGAGTCAGGACAAATATTTTCACGCGACGTGTTTCTGTGAGTGGTGCAAGCCGAAAATGCAGCATTCGTTAGCGCAGAGGTACCATATTAAATTATGCGTGAAACTCCGTAGATCTGCGACAAAGACGTTTGATAATGATCAAGCAGGCTTACCCAGATGTTGCTTTAGAAAAAGTGGTATGTTTCGGTGGCATCAGGTCTTTTTGTAGATGACGACCTGTGCCTTTGACAAACACCGACAATGTGACTCGTGTGCCCAAAAAGTATGCTGAAACAAAAAATTGCGCCACCCCAATGCTTCCACAGTCGCCCTACAGCCCAGATGTGGCCCCTTCGACTTTTTGTTGGTTTTCTTGCCTGAAAAGGCTGAGGAAAGGCAAGCATTTTGAGACGACAAAGGGGATCCAAGCTGCATGTACCTCGGCTCTCAAGGCTTTTCCGAATAAAATAATTTTCATCTCCTCTTTCTCCATACAACTTTGGAAATCTGCGTCGAACATGTTTCTTGATAAGCGCAAATGGTGCAGTAGATCTCCTGTGTTCTACCCTAGAATAAGAAGTTGTTTTCTTCAAAACTAAAAATTCTTTCAAAACTAAATTAGTAGACTCTTTTTTGACCTTGGTATCTCTGTCAAGTTTTCGGTAGTATTTGCTACCAGTCAACAGCCCCAGCTTTTCGACTTAAATATTTTCAATCGGTGTCGTTATTTTCTTTAGACTAATACTATATAAATTTCAGTGCAACCAAATCTTTTAGAAATCCAGTGGAGTCGGTGAGCTTACAGAAAGCTTCCCCGTGAAGGGTTAAATTCTCGACGAATGGGTACAAATTTTTTCTCTGCTTCATCCTCGCCATTATTCAAATCCATTACTTGAAGAATAGACGCTTTAAGGTAGTTAAATTTATTTCTAAAGAGATTTGGTCTAAAAATTATCCATCGCTAAACGTTATTACTCGGAAACAAAGAGTCCCACTTTGATCACAAATCTAACTTATTTTCGTACGTTTTTGACGGAGGCTGAACTACACAAGCTACATTTACCACCTGCGCGTATTTTTTTTTTTTCTTTTCAGGCAATCCTTTCACATTTTTTAAGTAGGCATATATATCTTACGTAAGATCGCAGAACTGATAGTTTTCCGTCGACAAAATTTCAAGATCTCAGCATCCAGTAGGCAGTAGGCAGAAAGAAGGCTGAGAACCTGTTTGAACACTTTCAAGTTATATCAGAAATTGTTTTGGTTGTCGTAATCCAGACAGTTATAGTCTGTATTCGAAGCTCCTTTTTGATGAAGCTCTTTCACTACAATCATTGACTCCGATTCTATCGGCACGTTAGTCTCATATTTTCTAATCAGTTGACTTCAGACTTGTACCACTCCATCCGCTACTTTAAGACCTCATTGTATATAAATAAAAGTATACATACATATTTCATTTGTATATCATCTCTTTTACGTATCCAATTTACGGTCTGCGCTTACAGCCCCATTACACTCTATACCGGTGAGTCGCCTTACGAGAAATTGAAGCTCAAGAAAGCACAACAGCGTCTGAAGAAAGAATATCAAAAGGAGAAAAGACGTGCCGAACGCAAACAAGCACAAAAGGAAATTCGTAAAGACGCTAATAAGGAAGGACTCAATGGCTGGGAAGAGGAAAACTCTGCAGATGAAGGAAACACCGATGATAACGATTATGAATTACCAGCAACCAACCAACAAGAAGACGAAAAGAGTTGTAAAAACCTTGAACTACCGACTTCGCCTTGCACGCTCTGGCATAGCAACTTCAAAGATATACCGCGCAAGAAAGATCTACACATTGAAGAGCTAATAGCCGAACGTGATCAATTTGTACGACTATGTAGCAAAAACCGTTTTTATGCAAATCCCAACTTCAATCAGCCATGGCGAGTGTTTTCAAAGTAAGTACAAATTTCAAATTTCTTTCGAAAACTTTCGGATATCTAAAATTTTTTCATACTTACCGCTGCAAATAGACTTGCCGCCAGGCTCTCTAACGACATCATCGGCGTAATCGAGGAAGACTTTACCATTGGTGTTTCGAAGTTTGTGCAGGACTTCCTGGATAACGAGACCAAGATATAAGAACGCTGCTTCTGCAGTTTACCTTCTTCGATATTTTGTTCTGTTTTACCTCCATGCATATATATTTTTTAATATTTTCCGTTGTGGTGTTGCAGCTGTGTGCATGTTTTTTATATGGATATGATTCTCAAGTTTTGCTTTGAAATTGTAGAGCAAATTTTGGCAGATTTTAGATACGTATGTAGAGCTTACACAGTAGATAATCGACATTTTTCGCGATCATGTCAAAGGTTAAGGTAGATAAGGTATCTATAATGGCTTTACAACTTTATCCCTTGACAAGCTTGCGAAAACCGGTTGTTACTGTGAATAATCCACGCAGCATATGCTTGTGTGTATGTGTAACAAGTATATCTCAATATATGCTGTACCTATGCCAAAATAGTTCATGTAAAAAATTTTTTACTATTATTAAATTTTTTTTCTCAAAATTTTCATTTGTCGGTTGGGTACTAAACAATGAATTTTTCTTTAAAAAAAAAACTAGTTCTCTTTTATTCATAACTCTTTAAGCATATATATAGCAATACTAACACTATTGATCCATGATACCTTGTCGAGATGGCCATATATCCCTATGTACCTCTTAACTCGCTAATATTATCCGTGACCCATTTTGAAGATCTCTAAAAGTCCTTTAGACAATATGACTTCCCTTTCCTAGCTGCAATAAAGAGTATTTAGAATGAGATTTAAGGTTTGTCCGCAAAGTAATAGCACCGATTAGGCAGAAGGCATTTCTAGCTAACGAACGAGCGCCTGATCAGTTGTCTCCTAGACCCTGGGAGACCTGCGATTTCGACAAGCCCCGACAATGTGGCTCGTGTTGACATCAAAAGCGTCCTCCACCGTGGATTTGTTCCTCCTTAACAAACCGTCAACTCCAAGTTTTACGTGGCAGCGCTGCGTCGACGGAGCCTATTTGAAAGTTTTTAAAGAATTGTAACGATTGGTTGAATACATTCTTTTAAATCGACTTAGTTCTGTCACTTTCCGGACGAACCCTGTCTTGTTTCGATGGAAAGTGCCTAATCAATTTTTATCCAAATCACTTAGGGATATGTCCAGGAAATAATCTGTTTCGACGGGTTCGTACGAAAAGGAAAGGGCTGATATGTGAAAGGAGGTTGTTAATGTCATCCAAGGACTCTCTGCATATATGTACGTTTAGTACTAAATATCAGGGCCTGTTTTGAATAAGTATGAGCTTAACCAGCTACAGTATCTGTAATGAAGTTGCGTATTTACTGTATTTTAACCCGGAAATCCGAGCTCACCGTCTGCGATGGGTAGTGTTTCAACGTCAAAGACGCCATTCACTGAGAGTGAGTCCTTGAAATATTTAATAGCTCCACTGTGAAACGTCCACGTTCAGTAAATTAAATTCCGTAAATTCCGAAATTATGTCGAACTATTGTTGTAGCTCGACGACAATTGTAGGTACAATCTCTTCACGCTCCTAGGATGTGGTTTCACTCTAACAAGATGACGGCAAGGACAATTTATTAAAATTTTTTTTGACATTTTGACATTTCTGTATCGTCGTCAGATGTGTTCTGATGCATCCAGGCGATAATATTGGACCTACGTACTTTATAGCCGGCAGTTTGAAGATCTTATTGCGGCTTCGTACTTTGGTAATTATCGCGAATGTATGTGGAGTGTAGCGGTACAGTCTATCAAACTTAACACCGAGAAATTGCATTAAAACATTGTCTTCATACTAGTTGCTCACATCTTCAAACAATTCGACAATATTTCCTTTTAAACTGAAAGCCATTCTTTACTATAAATATTTCATTTAGAGAAAGAAAATAACTGAAATTTGACAGAAAGGAGTAAAAAACGAACAAAACCATTTTATGTAATAAAAAATAACTGCAATTTCAGTTATCGTGTATTTGCTGTTTGAAGAAATCAGACTTGAAGGTCAAATAGTAAGTTATATTACGGTCGTGGCCAAATAAGAATAACCAAAATGGAGATCCAAACATGCAGCAAAATGAACAGAGTTGCAATGGAAAAACGTTCAATTGTTTTAGAAAATATAAACAATTCTCAGCGTTACCACTCCGTTAAATTACAGTATAAGCAAGGGTATCAATATTTCACATGTAATTTATTTACTTCATTGTTTGTCTCTGTCTTTGTTAAAAGACAAATGTAGGTATATAATTCTTCAGACACTAAATAAAATACCAAATAAAAAAGACAATTATTGCTACCCAACAAATCACAGCTACCAAAACAACAGATACTTTAACCGAAAACTCGTTTAGCGCTGTTGAGTAAGTACCCGTAACTTAACCGATATGTGGTTTACAGCGCGATAAGATGCCAAGCTGTTTACACTCGTCCTAAATATGCGCCATATAATTTTATAACATCTGGCAACACGAAGGTAAGCGAAGTTCTTTTATGCCGCTAAAAGCATTTCGCTTATTTTTTGCAGATTTGTGAAAACATTTAGAAATTTTGTATCAAAGCAAAAATAGAGTGCTTTTTTAATAGAATTTAGCTTAACATTTGTAGTCAATAAAATGTGGTGTGTGTAAAAGTGTAGAAAAAAAGAAAAATAACTCTTTAAAATGGATGCCGTTGTTTTGCATTCGGACATTGCGCGTCTTGTGCTAGGTAAGTGCTTGCTGGTGCCGCTACTGCGAAGCGAATTTTGTGAATAGAAACAATAATGTCCCTCCTATTTGCTAGGCTATTTGAAAAGACAAAAGTTGGAAAGTACGTCGAGGCTATTTTGTAAGACCTCACCACATCTTAAGCATGAATTTAGAGTATATCGGAGCGGATTTACGCCACACAGTTTTTGTCCGGATTTGGAGGATATTATATGTGAATATGTAAATATCAAACATATTGGTAAGTACAGTAACAGATAAATAGATAAATATACATAAAACAACTAATGAAATGTCTTATTGGAAATTATATTTACAGTCGATCGCTTTGTGTCTTCCTTGACGAGTAGTCAGCGTTTTGAACTTTTCGAACTCAAACTTCCGGAAAAAGTCAAGTTATTGTTGGAGCGTAGCTTGGCAACAACCTCGAAAACACAGCAACCCGAAAATTCCACGCATAATAAAAATACTACAAAAAACAATTCAAATGCCAGCAGCAACATAAATTCAGATAAAGAGAACACAACGAACAAACGTCCTAAACAGAAAAGAAAACGGTGAATATTAAAATTTGTTTAAAACAAAGTAAAAGTAAAAACATTACTACTAAAACTTTCTAATTCTCTTCTAGTGATGCAGTAGCATACTCTTCTGATGAGCGCCTCAGTCCGCTCTTCCTAAGCAGCAAAAACATAAAACGGCGACGCATTTTAGAACCGTTTTGCTTCATAAGTACGAAACAACAAAATTTACAACGTCAACGTCAAACTGCACAAACGCCTTCAACAAGCGGCGATCAAACCGAGCAGACAGATGATGAAAATGAAGAAGACACTCTCGACGAAGATAGTAATGAAGCGCAAAATGAAGAAGAAAATGGGTTGCATCATAATGAAACGGACTTGTCACTACTGGAAAAGCCGACAAAAGAGTCAACGCCGCACAGTAAATCGGCTAATGGAAAATTTTCAACACCATCCGTGCCGGTAATATGAATTAATTTTGTGCCTCGTGATATAAAATGTCTTAAACATAGTTTTTTTTTTTTTTATTAATACAGGAACTATCGCAAGCAATATTGGACAATCCACAATTTCAAATGAAATTAGTTGATAATATTAATCAAGCGCTTAATAACTCGAAATGCAGTGAAACACAGGGAGAAATTAGCAATCCCAAAGCGTCCACTTCCAAAATGTCAGCTAATGAGAATACTCTCTCCGAGGAGCAGCAAATTATCACATCTAATGAAATGTTGGATCAGATGGTCAAAGACATTTTGAAGGCTACTGAGCAGGACCCGACTTTCGATGCAATTGTCGAAAATGTTGTTGGTGGTATGTCCATAGTGAATTCATAAATTTCAGTATCTTCTTAATATGTATGTATTTAATATAGCATCCATACAGCCGACAAATGCCTCAGCAGGCGTTCAATGTAATATCGATGCTGCATCAGCGGCACCACCACCACAACTAATTAGCGTGCCGGCTGTGTTCGACAACCAACAACAGCAACAGCAACAATTTGCATTTGTACAACAACATCAGCAACCACAATTAACGCTACCAACTTTATCGACAATATCACAACAACCAACGGATTCCAGTACAGCTCCGCGTACACCCCTAATAATACGTACGGCAATATCGGCATCGAATACTTCACTGAATAGCGGTTCTGGCGATGCGCAAATTCTATCGACGCTTACAGCAAATAATTCTTTTGGTTCCCTGATCGATCCGAACTTTTCGATATCAAAATTGATCGTATTAAATTCGAATGATAGTGCACAAAAGGAAGCACAGGGTGGTGAACAAATCATTGGAAATATCACCGCTGATAATTTAATCAATCATTTGACGAGTGTCGGCGATGCGAATGGTGAGGAACAGGTATGTATTTTCGAATGAGAAAAATAATTTTAGAAATATTACTTTTCAATTCACAATACAGCAGGTTTTCATCGACAACGCAACCGGTCAATTTGTACTTCTTGCTGACGAGGGTATATTGGCGAATTTTCCATTTCTACTCAACGGTGAAGGTATAACACAACAAATTCAACCGGGTAATACTGGTAATGCGGAGCTTCCTCACAATGAAATTCCTTTATCCAAATCTATTTTAGCGCCTGCAGGCCAACAGCCACAAAACACAGTTATGGTGTCCAGTGCGCAGAAAGTAAATGCGGCCGAAGAAAACGAAATCGAAGGCAAAATAGTGCCGTGCACCGCATGTAAAAAACCGCAAGATGCTACGCTTCCCACCTCGCTGCAATCACGTACAACTGCAGATAGTGAAACACCCAGTGGAAGTGGCATAGTGAATATGAAAGCCTTTAAAAGCTTGTCGACACCACGCAAACGCACCTCACATGTGCGCACGCTATCCTTCTCACCGAAGACAACGGCTGGAACGCAAGCTGCACAGAAATCAAGCTTGCGTCCTAATTCTATCCCAGAGGAGTGCGAAGAGTTGGCCAATTCGGCTGACATACCGGAGCGACCCATCATAAAAAATGTGGAAATTCTGCCTGCTTTAGGCGGGCCCATCGACGCTAGCGCCAACGAAAGCAGCAATAGTTGTAGCGTGCCGCCTTTATTCGTTACCGAAGAAAGTAGCAATCAGACTGTCATAAAGACCGAGTTATCCTTACGAGAGACCGGTGTAGTGGAGAAAACGGACAAAATTGACAATAAAATAAAATCTGCTGTTACTGGTCTACATACAGATACACCGAAACGCAAACAAGTCCGCAAAACCGCGGTACGCGCATGCAAGCGTCAACTTTCGAAATCTTCGGACGAATCGGAAACCAAGCCAGCGCCTACAACCGAAGTGGAACAAAATGAAGATTCGGAAAAAAACGCGTCTCTAAGCGAACCACCGGATGGAGAGCAGCGTGTAGGCAATGCAAAAGATGACAAAATGATGGAGGAATGGTTGCGCTTGCGTAATGCTTCCAATCGTGATCTCGACTCGCGTTTGCGTCAAATTAATGCCGAGCAACACGCCGTACTACCGAAATCGGTGCGCAGAGATAAAAACACGTCGTTGAAACAGCGTAGTTTGCGGCGAAAAAGGCCGACAATCTCTAAGCGCATGCGTAAAAAAGCGCGGCAGGAGGCGCACAAAAAGGCACTGCTCGCGGAAAGTGAAGCCGACGCGTCAATCGTTGAGGATGAACCTAAGGAAGTTGTGAAACCCGATATAAGGATCGTGGAAAAGTCGAAACACGGCAAGTGTGCAATCGAGAGCAGGCGCGTGACCAAAGATCGGAACGGTAAAGAGTTCAATATAAAAATTCCAACACCACAAAAAGACAAACGCGAATCGCAAACAAAAACGAAAAGCGAATGCGTAGACAGCGCCAGGGTCGACAAAGCTGCGGCAAATGACGATGCAATCGATGGTGCAGCAACCGCAGAGCCTGCAGCGCAAACTGCAGACAACGCAAGCGTGCCTGTGTCGGAAGAGCACAAGGAGCAGGAGCGTGATCGTCGTACAGCAAATATTGCTTGTCTGCTGGATACACCCTTTAAAGCGCCAACGTTGATGGATGCAATCCCGCTTACACCGGGAAAACCGGGACACTCCCTAGACACGCCTGCCGCCAAGCTTCGCGATGGCGATTTGCAACTTTCGACCTCATATCTCTTTGGTTCGCTGACAAAAAGCGAATTGGATACACCACAATTGAGTGCAATAACGCCCGGTTTGCGTTTTACACCATTCGGCTCCAGTCGCGATGTGACACCACGTAGTGGAACAGCACCAACGGATTATTCTTCCGGTGGTTCCTACTATAAACCAGATGAATCGGAAGATTTGGATCGTAATTTTGAAAAACTTTTAAGAGATTCAGCGCAAAAGCAACGACACGAAGAGGAGGAGCGAGCAAAACTGCTGGAACAGCATTTAAATGCAGATGAGGTGAAAAGCGCACTCTTTGAGGAACCAAGACCAGCAGTGGCTGAGGACATGCAACAAGTAGAAACAGAAGCTGAGAAAATATGTGTTGAAATACCAGCTGAGAAGCTGAGAGTCGAACCCATAGTACTGAAACGCGTTAAATCATTTGGCGCTGAAAGCACCGAGAACACCGAAACGACCTCAAATATCGATCCACATTATACGCTCGTTTCCGAATTGCCTGAAATTTGTGCGGATGGTGAATCGTCCGATTCCTCCAGCACAGCTTCTACTTCTACGTCCTCATCTTCATCGAATAGTTCCACAAGTAGCTCGAATTCTTCAACGAATTCTAGCACCACAACGGACGAGGTGGAGTCAGCGACGTATGAAAAGGAAACGCCAACAAAAAATACTAACTTTTCTTTATCGCTAGATAATCTCTCAACAATTAGTAGTACAGAAGATGAAGAGTGGCAGAAGTTGGCTGTTACAGAGGAAGAGAATTCACAGTTGGTAAGCAATGATGGTGAAGTACGTTACCCGGTGCGTAGTTGGCTGACACCGAGCAAAGTCGATCCGCAAGCAGCAATCGAGACACACGAGCAAACGCCAGCGACGACCATTAAGGTAACCGTACCATTGAAATCGGCCGAGAAAAAGAATCGCTTGGAGGAGGACTTGCAGCAAAAACGTGAACGCATGGTGGAGAAGCTGAAGCACGATGCCAATCAGCGGCGTGTTAAACAACCAATAGCTACAGCGGCACAATCAGCTAGTAAAAGCGCTGCGCTAATTGCGAGCCGCAAGCTTGTGGCGATGAGAGAGAAAGCTAAGATTCTACCGGCGAAAGCGACCATGCTGCCAAGTAATTTTGAGGTAAGTCAAGCCAAACTCGCTGTGGAAGTACAGGAGAAGCGTACCATGGAAGTACTGACAGCCCTACAGCTCTCCGCCAAGAAACAAGTTCCACAGTTCAGCTCGGATAGCGACGCTAGCAAAGCGCGCAAACCGATCACTGTGCCACCAATGGCCTCGCTGGACGACAATGCAACAACTACACTCTTCACACAAGCGCCAACTGCCGTTACGTACGAGTTGACGGAGAAAACCGAGCGACTGCCGTTAAAGACGCTCATCTCGAAAGTGAAAGCAAAGCAAAGGCAATGCGAACAAATAGAGGCGCTGCCGTCTATGCAACGCTCACATACTACAAGGGTGGGACGCAAGAAAATTGTGCGCAAACCGCTCGGCTTCAAGGGCACCAACGCGCCCGAAACTGTTTTCGAACCCGATCAATTGGAAGAAGTGAAAACACCGCATAAAGCAATGACAAAAAGCGTGGCGGAGCCGGAAGGTAGTGGAGGAAAAGATGCGATTGTTAGTCCTGTGCCAAGGATAAGAATAAAAACACCAACAGGGGTAACTGCCGACAGACCCAGCGCATTACGGGTTTCGCCACGTTTGCTAGGCAACAAAAAGAGTAGATTGAAGGACGATAATACGGAAGAGAAAGAAGATGACAAAGGAGATACATCGGAGGAAGTGGTAGTGAGCAGCAAATCCAAGAAACCACTGAAAGCTGCGAAGTCCAAGGCGGCAACCACAGCTAAAAGGTTGTTAGCGACTCTTACCAAAAAGTCACCTGTACGTACTAGAATGACGAAAAGTAAACGAACGGCACCGACCGAAATATTAGAAGCAAAAATAACAGTGGAAGAGCAAAAGCAAGACGAAGATAAGGTTAGAGCCGAACAACCAAGTGATAAGAAAAAGTCTGCAGGAGAGGTGATATTACCGGTTGAGCATGAGAAATCTGACAAGTCGGATAGTAACGAAAAAATTGAAAAAACAAAACCCGAAAAGAAAAAAGATACTGAGAAAAAGGAATCAAAACATTTGGATAAATCGAGAAAAGCATCCAAGAAGGACAAAGAAGCTGAAAAAATTAGACAAACAGATAGGCCTTCATCAACTGAAACGAAGTCCGGAAAACACCCGGTGACAGAAACAACTGTAACGGCGCAGAAAAGAAAGCCCAAAGATAACATAGAAACTGAAGATGATAAAGAAGATATGACGAAACCAAAAACTGAAATGACATCCAGCAGCAAAATTATTGACGATGCGAGCATTACAAATAAAAATACCAAAAAACAAGACGCTACTAAAGAAATACAGACACGAAAAGATACCAGATGTGAAGGACAAGAATCAAATGTTGACAAACTTGATGCAAAGGTACAAGATCAAGCAATTGTGAAGGAAAAATTGACGAAAGAGAGTGAAGCTGCAGAGATCGCGCCAAAGCCAGAAGCGTTGCCGACATCAACCACAAGTATGGAGACTGAAACTGCTGATACTGCCGAAACCTCCGAAGAAGATCCATTAGAGCATTGCGAACTAACGTCTGTTACGGAAGAGGATCCGGTACGCTTTATATCAGTTACCTATGACGGTCCCGATGGTGCGCCAGCAAATCTCTCGCCACGACGAGATTTTACAAACTTCAAAATGGTCGTTGCCTTCGATGAGGAGGAGAAACACATTTGGCGCATTAGCAACGAAATGGTCTTGTTCAGTGCATCGCCCGCATCACAACAAATACGTAACATTCCGAAGAAACGTAAAGTGCGAATAAATACATGCGGCGGCACTGATAATGATAACATCACCACTGTAGGTGTGGTACATAGTACGACAACAACAACAGCATCACGGCAAGCAACCACTTCGACTGTTAATAGCAGTGAAGAGCGCAATCAAAGGGAGAACAGTTCGAATGAAGCCAAACCAGTAGCAACGTCTACACCCATCTCTGCACCAGCCACGAGCAGTACAGAAGAACCACGAAGGCGGACGACGTTAGTTCAAATATATGTTTTTTTACAGCACATATTATGTATTATTCTTTCATTTACAGCAGAACAACACGAAAGGCTGTCGCTGGTACGGAAGTGGCGAGTGGTTCTGCGTCGGCGCCACCAGCAGAAGCAGTAGCGACGAGTTCTGCTGGTCCTACAGATGTTCTCGAAATAGATGACATTGAATCGCTACTTTCGCGTTTGCATGGGAAAGAGAACTAATGAATTTTCGGTTTCAGTATATACTTAATACGTTAACTTAAGCTTTTACCAAAATATGCTTTATGTGCATTGGTAAAATTTATGCTTTAGTGTGTAGCAGCAAAGAATTAGTATTCGCAATAATAGTTAACCCGATTTAAGGTTTATTTTTAAGTATTATGCAACAATGCACTTTAATTTCTATAATATTTTATAGCTATGAACGTCTAAGAGGTGTTGCTTGTGGTTGCGTATGAAAATATATCGGATCAAATGAGAAAAAGAGCTAAATTTGGAAAGAAATACTCCTCGATTTAAAGTTATTGCTTTTATAGTATGTACTCTTATAGAATCTTTAATCTTCTTTAAGAAGATATTTTTATTTTAAGTAAAAAAATAAATGGCTCATCATAAATAACTGAAAACTTTTAATCACTGCTTGTGTGGTCTAAATTGGTCTAAAAACACGTATCGATAATTAAAATAAAAAACAATTTATACAAATCACGATACAAGGAACAGACCTAGCTTTTTTGTCATATACAAATACAGTGCTGTCAAATAAAATATTCATTAATATATGTAAATGATGACGGAACTCTTTCCATGCATAATACGCAGTAGCCTTCACTAATTTAAAAATTGCTAATACGACTACAAAATACCAAATTTAAATTTACTATCATTCATATATATTCAAGAAACTCACATTTTTAGTACAACTTATTGCGTGTGAAATATGGCAACATCGTGTTTTCGCCTTCTGTCAAATTGCTTTGCTTTGCTTATTGTACTGACAGGACGCAAGGGACTCGCCGTCGCATTGAAAGGCAGTAGTTGTCGCCTTCCAAATCAGAGGACAAATAAAATTTTATCTACAACGGACGAATGAAGTGGTTTTATTTTTAATGCGGGGAAATTGAAGATTTCAATTCCAATAATAAACATAAGTTTGCGAAGTGCAAAGTTTCTTGTATTATTGTTTGTGTACGCTTGGTAGCGTACTTTGTGTCAAAAAATCACCGTCCTTGATTGCAAGTGCAAATAAATATCAAAAGCTAATAATCTGCAGGCAGCAGTGTCGGAATTGGCCGCCGTCGTCGTCGTAGTAGTTGCTTTTCAAAATTTCATTGAAGCACGCCCATATAACACCATAACAAAGTATATATGTGTGTACTACTTTTATGGAATTGTACAATATTTAACCAAAATCACAAAAACAAACAAGAGTAGAGCAACAATTGTGAACATCTAGAGAGTGTGGTATACTACATTCAAATTATTATTAATTAAATGAATTGTGCAAATGTATTATGTGTGAATGCTAGCAAATATTGTTATTGCTATAGAAAAATAGCCATAATTGTTTACGTGATGATTTGTTGAAAGAGTGTAGTCAAGACCGTGCAATAATTCCATAGTGTATCACCGCGTGTACTTTTCTGCGTCCATACATGCATATTGTGTGTACATATGTATGTAAATGTGCGTGTGTCTAAAATAAATGCATATGCGCTCATATGGCTGTCAATGCTGGCGCGCGTAAAAAGCAAATAAAATATTTTTGGGTTGTCGTTTTGTTCAGTAAAATTATTTATAGTGTTCCACCGTATAAAGAAATTTAAAATATATATAAAAAAAAGGAACAACTGTAAACAAATAACGAATATAACTATAATCTCAACAATAATACAAAATTTTTAAATTTAAAAAGTAGTGTGGAAGTAATATAGTAAAACGCACCTCAACAAGCTAAACAACAGTCGATTACAACTACATTACAATACAACAGCAACATGGCTTTGCCAAGTAATAATATTGGTACCGGTAGTGGTGGAGGTAGTGGCGGTGTTTTAGGAGCTACCGGCGGCGGTAGTGCTGGTAGTGGTGGTGTCGGAAACAATGATTTGTGGCGCGAGTGTGTTGCATGGTTAACGCGTTGCAAAATTATACCACCCGATCACAAAGCCAATTGGCCCGATTCAGAAATACGCGTCCTTGCCTTGACGCTACGCGATGGTGTTTTACTTTGCAATTTGGTCATTTATTTGGATGCCAGCAGTATGGATCCACGCGATTTCAATCGCAAGCCACAAATGGCACAGGTGAGTTGTTATTTGGTATTATTCATTGTTTGAAGAGACGACACAATCCACACTTATATACATAGATACATAAATGGCGCCACCGCCGAGCCAAGGCCAGACTTTTCCTTTCTGACTGTTTACTTAACTTCCACACCTATTTACATATCAATGTTCATATGGGTGCATGGATACGTGCTATATAAATATGTGTTTTAAGATAACCCTAAGAAAATAAATTATCTTATTTTATATGTATGTGCATATGTATAAATAATGTGGCTATTTCTGTGCCATCCAAGAACTCTGCTGTGTTGTTTATATAATTTCTGTAGATGCGCTTGCCGGCACATTTGTGCTATGTCATTATAACATTTGCGTATCTCCGAACAAATTCCCTGTTCGGCTAAGCGAATATGGTAACGGTAAGTGCAACCAAGTTATAGTTGTACAATGCTACCGGTGTCTCTAACGGCTTATTACATGACTGATAACAGTTAGACTAATCGGTTGACAACTCGCTTATTATCTGCTATCTCGTCACTTTTGGATACCTATAATTTATAATCAATGTTTTTATATAGTTACACACCTACAAACTTTGTATATTTATACTGCATATACATATAATTATAAGTGATGTGAGTGAGCTCCGACATAGCGCCGTTTTAATTACATATTCTAATCATAGATTATATGCCTAGTAGTTGTTACCATTAAATTCCATATGTATTTAGATCCCAGTAGAAATATTGGATCTATAACTGCATACATACCTATGTATGTATGTATATTAGTGAGGTTCATCAAGAATGTTCCGAATATGTGAGAGGAAGCTGCAATCCTTCTACGTATTTTTAAATAAAGGTCATTAATTTAAAAAGAGTAAACAACATTAAATTTTTTCACATAAATATGTGGAACTTTGTGCCTGTAATGCTCAAGAAGTGGTTTGCACGAGGTAGTGATTTCGGCTACACGATGAAGATTATTGTCAAATACAAGAAAAGCTCCTAGAATAACTTAAGTAGCCATTTCATGTCAGAATTTCTCCATGAGCGGTACAAAAAGAACCCGTTTTTGCAACAGACTGTAATTTGTAAAAATGTCTTCATTGCAACAACTCTGGCTAACCTTAACTCGTTAAACGACCAAGCCAAGTATCCTTATCACCAAGGTAATGTTCCGTATTTGTAGCTTAATGGAAACCAATTAACCGCTGCTTAGAGTTACAGCGACTGGGGAGTTTTGTTAAGTCCTCTTTTAGCACAGACCTTACCCCTTCTGACTACCTCTTGTTATGGTCGATGCAGAAAGACCTTACGGTCATATCAAAACAGAGTATCAAAAATTGCCTTGATTCATCAACGGCCGTTAAATTGGCGCAGTTCTTTTGAAATGGATTCGAGAAATTGCAAGAGTGAATAAAGATCGGATTTTCAATATTTTTAACTTTGACTTTAAAAATTCGTCGAAATTAAAAAAAAAAAAATAAATAAAAATTCAACTATTCCATTTTTTTGTTCATTGATTAGGATTTGAAATATCGGGTAGTCGAACAAATATTTTCGTATTTCTTTAACCTTTATTGAACCAAATATGTTTCATTTTGGTCGACCACTTTTTGCTATTTTTCCGCTAGAGGCATTATTCCATCAGTATAAAACTTTTCTGGTTTCTCGACGAGAAACTGTGATGAATTCTGCCCGTTTTTTTTTGTCAAATTGCTTACTTCAATCTTCTCAGTTGTTGCTAGTAAAATGTATAATTAATCGCTCCACCAGGTTGGAGCAGCTCTTAGTGTTTGATTATTTTCCTTTCCCTCCAAACACTCAGCATAACTTTTCGAGCTTCACCAACAAATGGTTCTTTTTCGCACATTATTGTCGTATTTGATCCGCTTTTTGTCTCTTGTTGTTGTTCGCTTGAGAAATGTTTCGATTTCATTTCGTTTCAGAAAGAAAAGAATCGGAGATGTTCGGTCCATTAATTTTTCACAGACAATTCTCATGTGGTACCCAAAAATCGAGCTTCTTTTTGTAGCCAGGCTTTTTTAAATGTCTCAAAAACGTTTGATGATGAATGTTAAGTTCCTTAGCGATGTCATGGCTATTTATGTGACGGCCCTGGAGATATACGACTGCATTGGCATCTATTGACAAAATACGAAAGGACTTCTTCGACTAGGATATCATGGCGTACGCTTCAAAAAAGAAGTTTTGAGAAAAAGCGTTTTCAGTGCTGAAACTGATATTTCCACACATATAGGTGTAAAATATAAAAAAATTATTCTAACCTTGAAAAATATTTACCATTTTTCCACGTACGAACTGAGCTAGCAAACAACAAAATCGCCTTTATTTAACATTCATGTGTATAAAACTGCATTTTTAGCACCTCTTATTCCTTCATTTTATTTACTCTGTTCAAAATTCATATATCGAACAGCACGTCTCATATGCGCCGCACTGATTACAAAGGTCTCACAATCCTTTATCATCCAACACCATAGCATTTTACAATGCGTCAAATTTCGTTGTCACTTTTGTTTCCAATTTGTTTTGTGCCATTTCATTGAAGAATTTCCATAAAAACCAAACAAACGCCATGAAAACACATAATAAATGCTTGTTGAAACATTGAAATGCCAGCAGCAATTAGTAGAACACATAGCCTACAGTTTGTTATCAAGCGACTTGTATGGTTTTCACTATTTACATGCAAAATTAACTTCCTTCCGTTTATCAACAATGTGATGCAGAGCCAGCTGCAAAGGCGGCATTATAATTGTTGTTATTATTGTTAGCCACACAGCAGACATATCAAAAGATAGACATTTACATATGTACATACAAATACATATATAAGTTTAAAATTTTTGTTGTTGTTTGTACATTGCTAGCCATTATATCCAACGTATGTAGTCGCACATAAATGCTGTCACTTCAGCTTCTGTTGTTATTATTGTTACTGGTGTCAAGTATGCTGACTTTCTATCATTTTTTCTCTCTTTGCTTTTTGTATCAGTTTTTCTATAAAATAATTAAATAAAATATTGCAAAGCACAAATGGAGATATGTAGAAATGCTAGTATGATACACAGTCGTAAATTTGCTTAGAAACCGGATCGAGCCAAAATATTGGAAGAAATAAAGTAATTTTTAAATGCCGAACGTAACAGCATTTTGATTTTAAACAATTAAATAAGAGTTAAAATGCGTGTAATTTAATTTGTTTTTTGATTGTTTAAGAAAAAATATATATATAATAATGGAAATATTTAGGAGGCCTGCTGCGAAATTTCAAATAAATCAAATTTTTTATTCCTGCTTATACCGATAGTCTATACCTTCTAAAATAATATACTAAAATTTGAAATAATTATTTAAAATATTTTTGGAGTTAAAGCCTATAAAGTGTAACCGTCAATAGTAAATGTAGGCAATCAGTTTTATCTTTAAATGCGTTTTTTTCAAAACCGCACTTTTTTTAATTTGGTGCAGTGTTTGCTCAAAGGCTCCGAAATGATCCGATCACTATACAATTTTTTTGATCAAAAATCGAATTTTGGCTGGTCAAAATTGAGCAAAATTTTGAATCAAATTAAATTTTATTTTTCAAGACGACTATTCATCAATATTTATTTTGTTGCCTAACTAAGAACTTTTTTGGGATGACTTTCAGCGAATTTTGCTTCGATCGACTGGGTTCGAAATGGGTTCAACTGAGCGAAAATTTCTGTTTTAGGAACAAGAAAAATACGGTGGTTGTTCGATGGTTTTCGTTGCGTTTTTGGCTTTAAATTCGGTCACAATCGTGGTTTGATGCGATGGTGCATTATCATCGTGTAAAATCTGTGAATTGTTCGTTTTCGACGGATTTTTTCACGCAAACTGTTCAACAGGCCAAGAAGAAACCTTTATTGAATGTCAGTCCCTCAGGAAAAAATTCATAATCCAAAGCACGAATATTGAAAAGATCAATTAGCATTATCTTAATTATTGAGCGATTTTTGGTTTCGGCTAATTTTTTTCTCTCCATTCCGATGATTGTTGAATGGTTTGCATGTCAAACTCATAAACCCATGTCTCCACGAACGAATGTGGGATCGGAATTCACATGATCATGCATGTCCAAAGAGACCTGTTTACGGTCAATTTTCAATCACCATATTCTGCTTTTTTTTTTTAAATATTTCATCAGTTGAAGGAGTCGAAGATCGTCCATGTCTTCAACGATTTCTCGACCGTCTTTGAAGGCTTTATACCACTTATACGCTTGTGTTTTTGATAAAACTGAATCACCGTAAGCCTTTTCCAACATAAAATTTTTTTTAAATAATGCAATTTCCGGGGTGCTTTTTTGTCCCAATGTAAGTAGTTTTTTTCTTATTCCCGAGAGTTGGCTTTTTATAGCCTACCTTTAATACTTTTTAATTATATTTTCCATCTATCTTGACCCTTGCTACATTTCCGTTTCAAAGCCAATTTCCATGCATCATAAAAGCTGAGCAAGTCTTTCGATAAAAGCTTTGTAAATAATTTATTATGTGTTTATTTTTGATAATATACTTTTTCCAATTATTACTAGATTATTTATGCCCGCTTTCCTGTTCATCTGTACGTATATATGTATGTATATACCCGAATCAGTTCCCCAGTTTTCGAGATATGCCATTTCGCATAGGTATTTTTCTCTAAAAGAAGTTGCTCATTTGCCGGAACGGCCGATATCAGACCACTAAAGCATATATGATAGTTGCCGTACAAACTGAAAGGTCAAACACATGCCCTTGTATGAAAATTTTAACAGTTTCACCATATTTTAGAAGCTCATGATATACCACACCTTTCTGATGCCAGCAAACACAGAGCATTGCCAGCTTATCGAATCGAATTGTTTTTTGCAGTGGTTGTTATTGTTGTTGCAACTATTATCTAGTCTGCGTTAGTGGGGTAAGTTTAGTCGGTGTTGACGGTAGTCCGGGGTTAACTCATGTTTTCTCCGTTAGTCTTTGAAGC